GTATCATATCATCTGCAAAGAGTGAGAGTTTGACTTCTTCTTTGCCAATTTGGATGCCTTTTATTTCTTTTTGTTGTCTGATTACTGTGGCTAGGACTTGTAATACTATGTTGAATAGCAGTGGTGATAGTGGACATCCCTGCCATGTTCCTGACCTTAGTTAACCCCATCTCTTTCAAGTCTTTACTTGGAACCTATTTGCTCCAAGAGGCCTACCTTTACTGTTCTATTTAATTCTGCAACCTGCTCCTCCCCCAATCCTGACCCTCTTGATCCCATTTACCATTCTCTGCCTTTTCTATTTTCCTTTGCATGATTCATTTTCTAACATACTATGTGATCTCTTTATTTATTGTGTTCATTTTCTGTCTCCTTCCATCAGAAAGTCAGCCCCGTGAGGGCAGGAATCTTTGTTTATTTAGATCGTTAATAGATCCTAGAGTAGTACTTGCCAAATAGCAAGTACTCACAGAACAAGTAAATGAATCTGGTGTTTTTACAAAAAAATGTGTTGGGTCGGTATTTTCTTCAGATTTTGCAAATGCTACAGTTTAACATGGTGCTCCCCACCCCCCCGCCCAGAGACCAAGGGGACCAGCTCTACAGGGCACCATCTCCCTTCTCTTGGCAGCATGTGCCCAGCGGCAGGCCCCAGGAACAGCTGCTAAAGAAAGTCAGTAGATAAAACACAAAGTTCTATTTCTAATAATTTTGACCTCATCTTTCAAATTTCCATTTACATGTTTTTAATCTCTACAAATATACTAGCACGGTAGTACAAGCATATGATTTATAAATAAACAAATTTATATTGGAAGAACACGATCATATACTTTGGAAAACACTGGTCTACAAAACCACAAAATCTTTGGGAAGCTCAGGGGACACCTGGCAGTTTTGTGGCATCTACATTGGTATAGCAAACACATGACTGGGAAAATGGGATTGGGCCTGCCCATCCAGCTCACCGAGCCGTTCAGACAGCAGGGTGGTAGGCTGGTAGATTCTCTCTTCAGTTGGTACAGAAAGTGTCCGGACTTTGGAAAGTTTTGTCAAGGGAGACCCAACAAACTCTCCCAAGGAGCCTCTGGCCTCCCTCCCTCAGGACTTCCTCCAGCCCGCCCACTTGTGCCCTCAGTGGGCCACCCTCCACTGAACAGTAGCTGGCCCTGTGTCTTGCAAGCCTGTGGGCAGAGCTGGCTCACCTTCTCATAGTACCGGATCTCATAGTCCAGGATAATGCCGTTGGGCTGCTCTGGCTGTGGCCATGACAAGGTGATGCTCCTCATGGTGGCACTGACCTGGTGCATGATGGGAACAGTGGAAGGGGCTGTGGAGAGAGGAAAAGACAGGGCAGGTGAACAGACCCCCAATTACATGACAAGTGTCATCTTTCAGAGATAAATGAAGAGAGAAGTGTCTCTGGGCTTGAACCTACCCTTTCTTTCTCACAAGCAGAGCTGATGTGCAGAACTTCCTGTGGGTTTTGCATAATGAATGGAGTACGGATAACAAAGGGGAGAAAAGGTTATACTTTAGGACAGGGGGACATATATGAGGGCAGGGCTGGAATGGACACGGTGTTTTTTGCATGGGGAAGAGAAAGGCTTGACCAAAAAGAGATGGCTGGAGGAATCCCATGAAAACAGTGTGGCCTGGGGAAGCTGGAGCCATTTGGGGAGGGGGTGACAACCAGGACAAGTCTAGGCTTCCAACAGTGGGACAAGAGGGACAAGGGAATGTTTTTGAACAGAAGGTGGTGAAGGGATCTCAGTCTCGCATTAATTGGCAGAGCTACTATAGAGAAGAGATCACCTGGAGAGAGGGATGCTAATGAGAGAGTAGAACTGGTCAGTGCAGAATTACTGCAATAGAAAGGAACGTTCTAGCAAACATCTCTTTCTGAAACTGCATGCAGGATTTTGCTGCACTTCAAAAGAAAGGGAGGAGGCATCTCTCAAAAAGACATGGACACCGACCAACAACCGAGTTCATTCAGACTTTTGTCAGAGTTTTCCAAATGAGGACATTTGCAATAAAGAGCCCACAAGTATAAATGAAGAAATGATACACAAACCAAACATTTGGAAAACAGGACAATAATTCCAAAATCTGTGAAGCGATTCCAAAATCTCTGTTTGGAAATAATATTATTTATTTCCCAATTCGACGCTTTTCATACTGTGTAAGTAAAATGAAAACAGTCTGGAAATAACAAATGAGGGTTATCTTTCTAGGGGAAGAGGCAGGTAATGGATGAGGCTTCAGTCTGCGCTCTGCTCAGGGGCTGTTCCGTTTAGTCCTGGCACTTCTGTAGCTATGAAGGGCATTTCCTCACGTGAACCCCACTTCACACGGGTTTCTTGGGGGACTGTGGTGGAGTGGCATTTACTAGCCTCACTTTAAGTTAACGGATCCCCCTCCAGAGCGCGGCTGCGGGCCTGGATGCGGGGGTCACTGCGCTCTGCGCTCTCTGCTCGCTGGGCTCTCAGGGAGCACTGAGGACATGTTGGCCGGGGATGGGGCTGCAGAGCACTTGTCGTGAAGATGTCCACAGTCCCGGGAGCCACAAGAGAGCACAGTGTGAGACACGGTGTTAGGAGGGCTTAAAATCAGAGAGTCCACCCAGGACCCTGCTCAGTTCCCCTTAGGGGACCTTGAGGTGGCCCCGAAAACGCACTTGTCAGAGCTCCCACCCCTGGGAGCATGGCTGACTCATGGCCCCCCCTGCTGCACTCCAAAAACACTTACCGCATCCACACAGCACCCCGTCTCCCACAGGCTGCTTCCAGTCACTGACTGAGAGCAGTGAGGATGCTTCAAAAGACCCATTCCTGACTCTTCTGCTGGGCAGCTTTCACCCGAGGACTCCCCATTGGACTCCCCAATGCTTCTTTGTACAGCATGGCAGTCTAAGAGTCTTCCCATCTAATTCTCCTTCCTGCCCTCTCCTTCATTGTGATCTGATGGCTCTCCTGGCTTCCTCTGGCCTCCCCTCCCATTTCTCCGATCTCTGGCACCTATAAGCCTACCTTGGCGTCTGCTTCATGGAGGACCTGATTTTATGCAGTCCTGAATCCCCCTGTCAAGGATTCTCTGCTGGGCCCTGCTGTGTCCCCAGGGACGAGATGCTCACTGCCTCTGGGAGCTGTGGCTTCATCCTTGGGTAGCTCTCACCAATTTGCATGTCTTCCTATCCTTATCTGAAATTTGTCTTCTTCTCGATGGTCTCAGTTCCACTGACTAAAGTAATATAGAATGTTCCTTCTTCCACAGAATGGCTTGTCAAATAGCTAAAGAAACTAGTTAGGTCTTCCCTGAGTTTTTCCTACTGACAAGAATGGCCAGATACTATGAACATTTCTCCCATGACATGATGTCACCTGAGGTGGCTCCTTTCCAAATGGGGCTCATGTTGTCTTTTTAGGCATGTGGCCCAGAAGTAAATCCAATTCTCCCACTGCTGGTTAAGCAGCAAAGATTAGGGTAAAACTAATATCTTCCATGATCTGTGTACCATGCATCTGTTAATGTGACCATCAGCCTTTTTTGCATCAAAAACACGTCCCTGCCATTCGATTGTGAAATCACTGTCAAATATAACCTTTAGGTTTTCTCATGGTGTGCTCCTCCTTTTTTGTTTGTAGAGTTTGCTTTTGGCTTTGACTACGGGGATTTACGTGTATGTTTTTACCTTTATGGTATAACATTTGGCCTATGAATCTGGTAAACTGAAATAATTTTTGATCCTGATTCAACCATCAAATGCACCTTCTCTTTCTCCTAACTTAGCAGCATGGCCCAGGTCCATTAATGAACTAATTAAACAAATGTTCACGGAGCATCTGCCCTGTGCCAGTCACCGTTCTGGGTTCTAGAGATTCCATAGCGAATGAAAGGAAATTTCCTGCCCTCATGGAGTTTATTTGCTAGTGGAGGGATTCAGAGGCCAGATGTAATCAATCAATCACAAGGGATGTTAAAATATTAAGTGACAACAGGAAGAAATGGAGCAGAGGAGAAGGGACAGAGAATGCCGAAGTGTAGGAGGCCGGCTGGGAGAAGGCTGTAGTTTGAAATCACCGCGTCAGCAAGGCCTTGCCTGAGAAGTAGGTGCAGAAGCATGGGGTTGAAGCAGGGGACGGAGCCACGCGGACACCTGGGAGAAGAGCATTTGAGAGGGAAGGGCCAGGGCAACGGTTTAAACCTGGGAGCAGCCTGGCGTTCCAGACGAGCAGTGAAGAGCCAGTGGGACTGGAGCAGAGACAAGGCCACAGACGATGGCTTCTACCCTGAGTGAGAGGGAGAGCCACGGGACGGTGGTGACCAGAGGAGGGACATAATCTGACTTGCGCGTTAACAGCATCACCCTCTGCTGCGTCGCAAATAGAATGCAGGGGCTGTGCCAAAGCTGAAAGCTCTAGCTTCACACTATTGCAATGATCCAGCTGCGAGACTGTGGCTACTCAGACCAGGTTCAGAGCGGTGGAGGTGGTGAGAATGGGGGTGGTCAGATTCTGAATAGATTTAGGACATCTCACTGGATGTGGGATGGGGAAGAAACAGAAGAGCCCAGATGCCTCCAAGGTTTTTGTCCTGGGCATTTGGAAGAATGGGGCTGCCATGAACTGAGACGCGGCAAGACAAAGTAGAAGCTGTCTGAGTAGGCAAATGCACGGATAGGAGGTCCAGACTGGAGATATCAGTGGAGAGCCATCAGTATTCAGAGATACCGAAAGCTGCAGAACAGATAGAGATCCTCGCGGGAATGAGAAGAGAATATATGGTCTAAGATTCAGGAGAGGAGGAGAAACTGCCAAGGGGCTGGAGAAGCAAGGCTAATGAGATGGCAAGATGCAGGGGAGTGTGATTACCTAGAAGTCAAGTGGCAGTGAGTGTCCGCAGGAGGACAGAATGTGTGAAGCGCTGCTAAGTTACGTAAAAGGAAACCAGGAACTGAGCTCGGAGTTAGCCACAGGCTGGATGCTTAAGTGGGGATGGCTCATGGGCGGCATTCCTGACCTTGAGTGCACTGGGCAGAGTCAGGGAAAGGAGGAAGGCGGGGCAGTTTCTGGATTCAGGCCAGATCACGGGGGGATCACAGTGGGCCCATCAACACAGGTGGTCCGGGGAAGCCTGCTTCCCCCACCCCCGCTATACACTCGTTGCCCAGCTCCATGCTGCCCTCCAGCCTGCATGGAAACATCATTTACATGTCGCCAACCACGTCAGTGCCATGTAGGTTTTCAGGATCCTCCTCTCCCTGGAGAGCTAAAGCACCATGGATTAAAAATGGAAAGATTAACCCTAACGGCCTGAGGATTTTGATGGACTTGGTTCTTTTCTTTGCCTTTAATCCCTGGAAAACCATCATTCAGGAGTCAACATATTTGCCAGCCATTGTGCCAGGCCCTTGCTCTAATCAATGGGGATGGAAGGATGTGTAAAAAAAGTCACAGCACTGCCCTGAAGATCCCTGGCATCTAGCTGGGGTTAGGTGGTAAAGAGGCAATCATAGGGCAGGGTGATCCAGAAGCAATCCAGAGCCAAATCTGAGAAGAACACCCCTGTTACACAGATGGCAAAGCCCTCCGAGCAGCCAATCAGCACGCGGATCCGGGAGAAGCTGCCAGAGGGTAAGGGTCACCACTGCACACACTGCTCAGATTTATGGTGATGACAGATATTCATAGGCCCCCTTGCAGGCTGTTCATCCTCACTCAGGTCACTCTAAATGTCTTATGTTTTAATTGAGATGGGATTTAGCACATGGAAGAGTAAAAGAGTATTACTCTTCCTCCCTGAAAATCAAGGGCAGCTTACATTTGGTGCTCTGACATTGGTGATCACCAATTTGGTTTTTGTGGGTGACAAATTTGTTTTTTTTTTCCTTCTCCAAGTGCAAATGCCACCTCTAAATCTGGTTTTTACATGTTATGAAACCTTCCAACAAAACAGAAAATAAAAAATGAGCTCAGATATCCACGCAAACACCACCTTCTCCTAGCAAAACTAAGGCAGATTAAAGAGGGATGGGAAGACTAATTCAAAGCAGCAGCCCCCATAAACCCCGAATATGCTGGTTTCAACAGTAAGTCCTGGCTCGTTGTCTTTTCTTCATAAACTTGCATCCTCAGATGAAGGAATAGTTTGACTGAATTCTTAAAGAGTGTCTCCCTCACAAGATCTCTTTTGACTAAATTAAACATTCTATGGAGAGAAGAAAATGAAAATAAAGAGTTCAAAAAATTATTAAAATTTAGCAAAGAAATAAATACGGACCTTCTTTTAGAAAGAGTGAGAATAAAGAATTAGCTTAGGGGCTATTTG